TCTGGGCATGCGTTTCCAGGCGTCGAGGTGCGGGCCGTCGTTGTTCTCTGGCGGGTCCCAGAGCTGCTTCCACGGGTCCCTCGCCTCGTGAGCAGTGCATGCTTGTGAGGGAAGTGTCGTTTTGAGTAGAGAAGTGGTGAGTCGCCAGATGACCGCAAACCACGCTGAAAACCGCTGTCGGTACTGCCTGGCGCCGTTTTTCCGCAGGCGTCGTCGCTCAGCGTTGGTGCCCGAAGAGAGAGGGTTGAGTGCGTTGGCGTAGCTCAGCAAGCCAGTCGCTGGTAGGTGGAGCGGATGAGGAAGGTCAAGTGCCGCCTTCGCCACCTGCGCATCGCGGTCTGTACGTAGTATGCCGGTGCCCAACACGCCTTTCGCAGCTGCTCAGCAAGCCGTCGATGTAGGCGTAGTAGGCGTCGTTGTGCGATAGACTGATCCAGACGATGTGCTGGTGAGTGTCTCGTGGCCCTGGTGGTCAGAGTGGAGCCTTTGCCGCGCTCGGCAGCGCGCTCCATCGTAGCGCGCCCCCGTCCCACAGAAGAATCAAAGCATGCTCAGCTCGCTCGTGCCAATTCCTCCACTGGGCCACCAAATCTGGCTCTTGAAGGTCATCAACAGCTTGAGGTCCGCAGTGTGCGTCCACCGGCTCCAGCAAGAGGCGTCGCTCGCCATCCGACGGCGCTCTGAAAGAAACATGCGAAGCAGTGTGACGCATACGCGTGGGTGCTACGCTGACAAACGGGAGCGCCAGCTCGTGAGTCACCAAGCCGTGGTGAGGTACACCGGGGAGGGGATGTGCGCTTCTCTGCGGGGGGCGCGGGCCATCCCCGAAGTGTGGTGCACGCGCAGGGGACGTCGAGACCGCGGCAGTGTGCATGTCAACCCCAGGGGCTCCACGGCGCATGATCCGCGACGTCGTCATGGGTAAGTAGGCGGGCCTCCAGTTGAAGTCGCCGGTGACGTAGACTGGGTGACCCAGGCGGCCCAAGGTCTGTAGCGATGCAAAAGTCTGATCATACCGGAATGCGTCAAGCTCCTGCGGGCCGTAGCCCGAGACAATTGACGCTTGTGTCGCCCCGATGCCCACAGCCCTGCGGCGTAGGAAATCCTCGCGGTTAATCGTAGTACGGTCCAAGGAGCGTTTCCATAGTATTGCACATCCTTTTTGGCGAGGCGTGGCGGTAAGTTGGCCTTGAAGCCGAAGCTGAGGCGATGGTTCTGAGAAAGCCACCAACCATCCGAACTGCTGAGCCAACCTCCAGGCCCATCGAGGACGGAGTTCGCGATATCGAGTCTCCTGCAAGCAGATCACGCCGGCTGTTGATGCTGCTGGACTCCAAGACCGTCGTCAAGCGTGCCTTGTTCAGCGCTGTGACGTTGTTCGAACATACTTTGCACTGAGGAACTGGTGCTTGGAGGCCTTCTGGCCCCCGACCATCATCATCTGGTGCTGCTCTGCGGCAGCGCTTTCCTGAAGACGAGACTTCTTGGTAGATGTCTTTGGACCTGTTTGCGTCGGTGAAACTGGCGTTGGTCATGCTGAGGGCGTCGCTGGCGTCGTGCTTGGCTCGATGCTCGCAGGCGATGTCCCCTGGCGTTTAGGTGGTGCGCACGAGGCAGAATCTGCTTGGTCTGCGCAAACAGCCGTTGAATTCGGCTCTGCACTTACTGGCGAGGAGGAGGAGGCGGAGGCGGAGGCGGAAGAGGAGGAGGAGGAGGAGGAGGAGGAGGAGGAGGAGGAGGGAGGAGGAGGAGGAGGAGGAGGAGGAGGAGGAGGAGGAGGGGGAGGAGGAGGGCTTCTTGGTCGGAGGGAGGGCCTCCGAAGCAGATGCGGCAGCAGAAACTCGAGAGGAGCGTGCTGGTGTGGCCACGGTCCTCCGCGGTGGCTCGGCGTCGGGCCCCTGGGGGGAGCTGGTCCCGCGTGGGGAAGAGCGACTTCCCCCCAAGGAGCGGGCCCCGCCACGACGACGCGGCCGCTGGCGATGGGCGATCTCCCGGGGGAGGATCAGGAGGATCAGGAGGAGGAGGAGGAGGAGGAGGAGGAGGAGGAGGATGAGGAGGAGGAGGAGGGAGAGGAGGAGGAGGAGGATCAGGAGGAGGAGGAGGAGGAGGAGGAGGAGGAGGAGAGGAGGGGAGGAGGAAGAGGAGGAGGGTCCTGCTAGGCCGCAGGCAACCTCGCCCCGCTAGCAGGTCCCGTCGCCGCTGCTGGCCGTCGGAAGACTCCCGGCGAAGAGGAAGGGGACGTCGTGGCTGCCGCTGGCCGTCGTAGAACTCGGCCCAGCTGCTGTCCGTCGTGGGTACACCCCCGCGGGCCACGAGCTGTGACCCTGTAGTCGTCGCCTCCTTCTTCACGTGGTTATGGTAGCGCTTCCTGCCGTGGCGGCTGTAGTGCTCGGCGCAGTAGCCTGGTAGGACCCGTCGCTTGCGTGAGCACCTCGTTGTGCGAGCGTACCTCTCCTTGGTGATCCCGTCGGCCTTCTCCTGGCCTAGCACAGGCGCCACTGCGTCCTTGGCCGTGACACCTGGAAGGCGTACTCGGCAGGGGATGATCTTGAACTTACAAAGGACCAGACTGCGATCGCACGGACTGCAGGTAAAGTGAGTACGGAGCTGGCGAGACATCCCGACATCTTCCGAATCCGCTCTGAGCGCAGACGAGCCTGGTCCCCCAAACAAGCACACCGCTCGAAACATCCCCTCGAGACAAGCCAGCGCCTCGCACGAGACACCATTTTTCATCAGCATCACTCATCATCTGCATCATCATCGTCACCATCATATTCGTTTCGTCATCACTCGGCATCATCATACTTTGAGTGCATCGTCATACTCTGAGTAGGATGGGGAAGAGAGGAAGGAGTGGAGGAAGAGGAGGAGGAATGAGGAAGCCCGCCCGGTCAAAATAGTTGTTATTCACTGCGTGGAGCTCTTCATATCTGCATCTATGAGCATGGGCCTGTCCGCTGTGAGCGTCCAGGCGCAAGAGTTTTCGAAAATTAGCGGGTTTGAGCATTGACATTCTGGGAGCGAATCTCACTGTGAATGAATTGGATTGTGAATGAGTCTCAGTAGTATTAGTGGGCCTCTGCGCATCAGCTTGAGGCCTCCTTGGGCTTCTTGGAACCTCCTGGAGCTTCCTGGTGCCTCCTGGATCCTCTTGGGGCCTCTTGGGGCCTCTGATGGCTTCCTGTGGCCTCCGGAAGTCTCCTGGAGCCTTGTGTGGCCTCCTGGGGCCTCTAGGAGCCTCCTGGAGCCTCCTAGGGCCTCCTGGGGAGGCTTCGTGCCCCAGGAGAGGCCCAACCTATATGAGCCGACGTAAAACACTTCGGATTGGAGCCACAGGAGAGGGGCAATCTACAGAAACACTTCGGATTGGAGGCAGTGCTGCGACCTTCTGAGGCTTCCTGCTCAGGAGAGCTGCTCAGGGAGGAAAGAGAAATCAGGAGAAGGAGCGGAAGGAGGAGGAGGAGGAGGAGGAGGAGGAGAAGAAGGAGGAGGATGACGACGACGACGAGAGCTCTGGGGAGGGCGGGGTTCGATATCTCGATTCGTAATTCGACAGCAGCCCTGTGGATGTCAACTCGATATCTCGATATCTCGATATCCGCGGCGGGGACTCGATCGCCATCATCGTCGTCATCACCCCTGCCGTACTCATCGTCCTCATGGTCCCCCTCCGACACCCCGGGACCCCTCTGGCCCAAACTCAGAAAAAAGGGGAAATTTCCTTATGTACGGCCTGCGGGCCCGCACGGGCCCGCACGGGCCCGCTCGAGCGGCGCCCGTCCGCGGCGCAGGGCGTGCATAAGGAAATTCTGGTCCGGGGATGGGGGGGAAGCGAGGCGCCGTACATCGAGCCCCGCCCCGAACACCCCCGTCCCCGATATCGAGATATCGAGTCCCCGCTGCCGATATCGAGATATCGAGATATCGAGTCCCAGCCTGGCCCCGCCCCCGATATCGAGATATCGAGATATCGAGATATCCAGTCCCCGCACCCGATATGGAGATATCGAGATATCGAGATATCGAGTCCCCGCCCCCCGATATCGAGATATCGAGATATCGAGATATCGAGTCCCCGCCCCCCGATATCGAGATATCGAGATATCGAGATATCGAGTCCGGGCGAAGAAAGCACCCTTGTCTACAGGGACGCTTGGCCCCCACGCTGGAAATATGAATGAGAAGGCCAGCCAAGGTGGCAGTGGCATGGAAATGCCGTCTCGGACGAAACTACTCTGCGGGGAGCGCCTGGTGCGGCCGACGGCGGATGTAGCATGAGCAGGAAACGGCGGCTGAGGAGAAGGAGGAGGAGGAGAAGGAGGATGTTTTTTTTGGTTCAAACGCTCAGAGGAGGAAAAGATGTCGATGCTGCTACCCCTCCGTCGTTTTCGCCTTTTTGAGCCTCCTGGGAATTCTGGTCATCCGGGAGAGGCCCAGGGAGTAGTGGCAGTGGTACCTTGTGGTTGCCCCAATCGCGGTGTTTTTTGAATGAATCTCGGCTTCCGGGGGCCGTTTTCGGGCCCCCCGGCGATCATTTACCGGTCCAGCAGTCCAGCATGAAAGATTACCCGGGGAAGGGACCGAGTTTTCTCGGGGCCTGCGGATTGATTACGTCGCTCCATCGGAAGTTTGGGTTGGCTGGCTGGAAGGCCAGGGCAGGTCCGACTGAGGGCCAGGGCGGACAGCAAGGCGCTTGAAACTGTGCGGGGGAAAGAGGGGCATCTGAGAAGGCGAGTCCCAGGCGTTCCAGCCAGCCAGCAGCGGTGGCACGACATGCACGTGGAATGGTCTAGGCCTCCTAGATGGGGTCGGAGAAGATGGGGTCGGAGGATCGCGCCGCATCGCCGATGCATCGGCGGTGCAGCTCGATGTGGAGCCCACTTAGCTTCACGCCGACGTCGTCGATGCATCGCCGGCGTCGCGGGTGCGGCTCGACCCTCCGACCCCATTTGCTCGGCTCCCATCTGGGAGGCCTCTGAATGGGCGCTGCCCCTGAGGAGCTGTTGGACGCTGTCGCAGCTCCACCGATCCTGGCACCGGTCCGCGAGGAGGTCGCCAGTGGCACCGAGCCTGGCGGCGCCTCCCTGGCGCAGCGTGGGCAGGCAAGCTCTTCAGGCGGGCAGCTGCCAGCGTCCTCGTCGTCCTCAGACAGCGGGGAAGGAGCTACACATGCAAATGACCATCAAATGACTCGTTTATTGTTCTGTCTTCCGTTTCCGGGAGGGGGGTACGATTTGTTCGCCCTCCTCTGCGCAGGGAGCCAGCCATAGGAATCAGCAAGAATCCAGTGCAGGGGTGGCCAACCGCGACCCCCCGACCCGCCCAAACTGGCAGGGGAAATCCAAAGTTTTGGTGTTGCACGGCTCGCGGGGGAGGGGCGATCTCGCTTGAAGCGGCTTTGTTCCGGAGGGGGGGCCGAAGGGAAGGAGAGGCAGAACTGGCAGGGGGCAGGGAGTGAGTGTGGCAGGGGGCGGAGGGCATTAGGGACGAGAGTGCCATGGGGGCGGGGGTGCTTCCGGTTGCTTGCAGAGGAGAGTCCACGGACACATCGAGCTCCTTCGCCAGCCTGCCACTGCCTGATGGGCTGGCCGGGGACGCCGGGCTCTTAGCCAGCTCCGTCGGGCAGGAACCGACACATGTAATTACATCGAAGACGCCTACGGCGAATCACCGCCCCCCCCCTGCCTTTTGGAATCGCCCACGTAGCCGAGCGTTGTGGCAAGAGCTCTGCCAAGCTATCGGGCCATGTGTTCCCCCAGTCGTTGTGGAAACCCTTCGGGGAACACTTGGGGGAGGATGGCAGGAATGTCAGGAAGAGGAGCAGGAGGAGGAGGAGGAGGAGGCATCTTAGGAGCCTCTGGGGGCACTCTTGGGACCTCCTGGGAGCTTCCTGGGGGCCTCTTGGCGGCGTCTTGGGGGCCTCCTTGGGCCTTTGGGGGGCCTTCGGGGGCTTCTCGGGGGCGTCTTTGGCCGTCGTATGGCATTCCTGTCCCGTCTGACGCCGTCGGAAGCCGTCTTGGGGGGCCTCTCTGAGCCGACTTGGGGCCCTCTTGGGATGCTCCAGGGCCGTCTTGGAAGCCATCTTGGGCGTCTTGGAGGTCTCTTGGGCCGTCTTGGGGCCGTCTTGGAGGCCTCATGGGCCCTCTTGGGGCCCTCTTGAGGCCGTCTTGGGGGCCTCTTGGGCCGTTCTGGGGCATCCTGGGAGCCTCTTGGGCAATCTTGGGGCGATTTTTGGGAGCTCTTAAGCCGTCGCGGGCCGTCGGAAAAAGCAAATGACCAAAGCATCTTTTAAAAAGGTAAGGCAAATGAATGATCTTGGCCTCTTCTAGCCTTCCTTGAGGCCCTCTTGGAGGCCTTTGGGGCCGTTTTGGAGACCTTTTGAGGGCCTCTTGGGTCGTCTTGGGCCATCGCGGAGCCATCTTGGGTCGTCTTGATGGCCTCCTGGCCCGTCTGACGCCGTCGGAAGCCGTCTTGGGGGCCTCTCTTGGCCGACTTGGGGCCCTCTTGGGGTGCTCCAGGGCCGTGTTGGAGGCCATCTTGGGCGTCTTGGAGGTCTCTTGGGCCGTCTTGGGGCCCTCTTGGGGCCGTCTGGGGGGCCTCCTGGGCCCTCTTGGGGCCATCCTGGAGGCCTCTTGGGCGATCTTGGGGCGATCTTTCGGGACTCTTGGGCCGTCGCGGGTCGTCGGAAGGCCGAAAAGAAGCAAATGCCCAAAACATGCTTTCAAAAACGTAAGGCGAATCAAAGATCTCGGCCTCTTCTGGCATTCCTGGAGGCCCTCTTGGAGGCCTCTGGGGCCGTCTTGGAGACCTCTTGGGGGCCTCTGGGGCCCATCTTGGACGAACATGGAGGCCATCTTGGCCATCCTGGACGCCATTCAGAGTCATCTTGGAGCCATCTGCACCGACAAATCTTTGCAACTGAGTCTTCCGCAGGGCTGGCGCGCCGGGCCGGAGCCCCAGGGGAGAAGTTTTGTTTGTTGGTTTGGCTTTTTTGATCAATGCAAGAACCAAAACCAAACAGGTAGGGCTCAGCACGCCAGGCAAGCATTCGGCCACCTCGGCTGTCACCCGTCGCTAGAGCGTCAGGCAAAGTGTTCGTAGCGTGGCTGGCAGCCCGCGCATACTCACGTGCGGAGTACCGAATCCCTCCTTTTCCATTGTGTCGTTGACCCTTCCCCTTCCCCAGAGTAGCTTGCCCTGAAAAGATAGAGCGGGATCTGTTGTGGAACTCATGCCTGCAGTTACCACTTGGCCGTTGTGGTCCGCCGCCCAGCCGTGTCTGTGCGTGTGCGTGTGAATGCGTGCATGTCAGTCTCTCCTCGCTGTGTGAGATTGACCTTTCGCCGCCGTGCGCGTTGCTGCGACACCAAATGTATGTGCGTGTGTGTGTGTGTGTGTCCGTGAGTGTGTGTATGTGTTTTTCTGTGTGTATGTTAGCGTGTCTGTGTGTGTCTTTGTGTCTGTGTGTGTCTGTCTGTGTGTGTGTCAGTGCCTCTC